TTCAGAAACTTTTTATACTACCGCAGCAATTTTCTTTACAGAACGTTCAGTTTTTAATTTGCCAGTCTTTTTTCTATGATTGAACGAACCAGTTTCAAAAAATATTTGTGTTAAATACACTAAAAAATCATAAAGTTTCCGATACGCTATTTTTTCAAAAGATTTGAAATTCAAACATTATTTTAGAAGACAAATAAAAAATAATTTCTTTATCCTTCGTAAATTTTGCAGAATTCTAGTTCATTTATTATAATTTTAAGAAAAGGTACTATTATATTTTGGCAATAAGTATTCAGTGATGCTAGATAAGGTTGTACTAAACGAACATTTGTGTGTTTTACTTTGTGCAATACAAAATAGGAAATTCTCCACTTGTAAATCCAAAATAAAAGTATGTGTGTGTTTTTTCTTTGAAGATTTTTAAGAAGAGGTCTCAAAAATTTCGCCAAAAATCGATTTTATTCTGATCGAAATTCAATTCGCCCTCAAACACCTTATATCACATTTAAAAAACTATTTCTTGTATACTTTCATATATTGAATGGCATTTTTTCTGTTGTTTGGAAAACTAAAAGTTTATTGGTCCAAAACCCGAAAAGTATGAACAATTTCTTGAAAACAACTACAGTTCCCAAATATAGATACATATTTTTGTAATATTTCAAAACGAATGCATATTAAAAAGATTTTTTTTTTAATTTTAATCCGCATTTTGAAATTTGAATTAGGGAATCCTCGACGAATTTGACAGAATTTTCCAAAAAAAAGTTTTCTAGCATCTCTTCTTACACTTAATATTCTTTATACTCGTAAATTAAGAAGATCGCTTCATATATGAGTGAGAATGACGACAATTTCGATGTGTAAAATAAAAATTCGTCAATACGTTCGCAATTATAATTTTTCTATTAAGTATGCCTCTTCTTGCCTTTTTCTATTATGAAGCTTTTGATACAATGATTTTTCTGAATAAACGAAACTTTGAATATTTTATTAAAAAAGAAAGATGAAATAAAGAGGGAAATGAAATTGTAGATGAAAGTAATAAAAAAAAAATTATTATTGTAAATAATTTCTAAAATAATCGCATAAATTGTTTAAATTAAAAAGCGGATTCTGTGATACAAGCAAGAACACTTAAATTTTTTTTTAGTTTTTATGGAATAATAAAATATAAAAGTTTGAACTGTTTTTCTCGCGCTCAGACTTGACCTAATTCTTGACATTTTTTTTACGCTTTGTTTTTGTAAATTTTGTTATTTAATCTAATCAAAAGTGAATGTTTTTGACTTGTCCATCTACCATACATACTGTACGTTTGTCTTATAGTTATGTATATATAAATGATTAATATTTAAAAATGAAAATATTCCTTATTATATACAAAGTTATTATTTTGTATTTTATAATAAATTTATGGTAATATTAAATGTGTATGACGCTTGAGCGAAATCGAAATTAATTTGTTTGCTTTCAAATGGAATTCATGTCACATTTTATACAAAAAAGTGAACTAATTTTTTGTTTTCATATTTTTTTTTATTCATTTTTCCATATAACAAATAAAAATTTATCATTTTGGGTACATTCCAGATCTTAGTATTTAAATTTTTTTAAAATGTATGTATGTAGATAAAGTACAAAATAAAAGTAAATTGCAAATGGGTAATCAACCCAAAAATATTTTTAGAATTAAAAATATATTGATAAAATACAAAAAAAAGGTTTTTTTGTGACAATCAAGACATAAGTTTGTTCCCCCATAATTTAAGATATTAAATAGGGATATTTATTCTAGGAGGGATACAAGTAAAATAATTTTTTTTTGTTTCTGGTTTACTCCCCTTGGTAGCATATAGGACCTCCACAAACTTCTACAAAGAATTCTATTAGTGGATATCCGTTTTACTTCTGCCCATGTCATGCTGGCGATAGCGTATTCTTTCTTTATTGTTATTTACCACATATTCTTGTGTCATCCAATACTTCTCCCTTTAGGTTCGATTCCAATACTTTTTTTGAAATTTTTTCAAGTGGTCGTCGCAATGTGTGGCTAATTTATCCCCAATTTTTCTTTTTTTTGCTCTTGAGATAGGCTCTTAGTGTGTTAAAGTCCACAGGTATAATTATGTTAGTTATTCGTCTCTATTTCTTTCTGTCTCTGTTTCTTAGTATTTTTTTATAAATGTGAAGACTTCCAGATTACCCGCATAATCTGACAAATACCGTCTTTGCCAGCTTCAACCTGTTTTCTATGTCTTCTTTAACCCCTTTAATAATAAAAAGCAAAATATTACATGTAGTCAATAATATGTATTCGGGATATTGATTCGATATTGATTCATATTTAACATACAATTAACACAATTTTATAACTAAAATAAGATAAACAAATCTTATGCCTGTAAGTTCTCTGAACAAATCTTCTGAATATACTTTTATTAAAAATTTTTGTTATCAAACCTATTCCGATGATGTATGGTACCGTACAACCATAAATACAGTAATCGATTTTTTTTTTAAATATTAAAAATGATAAGTACTTATGACAACTTTCGTATAATCCTAAAATAATGTACTTCAAAAATAATGTTGGATCCCTGACCTTATTCGTAATTCTAAATATTTATCTAAGAAATATATTTTGGAATAATTTTATGTTTTCAATTTATTGTAAAATGTAATTACAATCAATTGAACTGTATTTAGATTGTCTTACTAAGATTTAATAACAAATTATTGATAAGGCCGATTCATGACTATGCAATTGTGTTCGCATAAAGAAATGTTGCAAATCAAATTTGATCATAAATTATTTGCAATGTAGTAAAATTTTCAAGAACCATATACATATAAACAATCTTACTTTGTATTCAAAAGAATATTATTTATATATAGACTCCAATTTTGTTATCGCAAAAATTAAGAAATAATTTCTATTCCTTTTCTAATTATTTACATAGTAATTTATTTTTGTTTTGTTCTAAAATTTAAGTATTTAAATACATATTATATGTGTATAAATAAAAATATCTTATAGTCTACATCACAGACATCTTTATTCTCGTACATTATAGGAGTTTATGATAGAGTAGTGCAAAATATAAAAAAAATATAAAAAAAATAATTTAAAACAAAAAGTATGTATAAAGGATTTAAAAAAAATACTTAGGAATTGACTGGAGGAGTAGGGATTAAATTTATTTTATCTTTTCATTATTATTGTGTACATAATAGATCTGCCCAAGTATATTTAACATTTACGTTATTATATATATATATATATACGTGTTAATAATATACCTGTTGCTTTTGAACTATTTTTAAAATTATCTTATATGCTTACGAGTATATAAATTTTATAAATTTAAATTCACAATTCAAAATAATTGGAATAAACCAACACTTATGTAAATGTTTTAAATGATAAGTGGGTATAAATATTTTATTAAATGTACATACATAATGTATTAAAAATTAACTAACCTACACAATTATACAAGCTGATATAATAATAAACAACAATAACTATATTCATATATGTATGTATTCATCAATAATTGAAGTTCTTAACCCGGCTCAAAACAAGCTCAATCATATTGAGAACAACAACAACAACAACAACAACAGAAAAAATCTCAAAAATAAAATTGCAATTTCAATTCTTTACTTACTATAAAAAAAAATCTTTTTTTTTTTTTTATTTTATTTATTTATTTTCCTTCAATATAATTATTGCATATGATTTCTAAAATAGTATTAGTATATTTTTATACAATAAATTAAAATTTCACTCAAAAATCATCTGAGTTCTTTTGGCTCTCTCTTACTTTGACAGTAAAAATGTAATCCTTTTTTTTTGTCTCAATAAAATATTTCTTGATAAAATGAACTCATATAGGTAACAATTTATTTTTATTAAATTTAATTCAAGCAAGTTTAAGTTTTAAGAAATTTTACTCATTTACATTTCCATCCTTAAATTATATAGATGAGTGAGTTAGTTATATATATATATATATATATGAGAGCGACGGAGCGTGTGTATATATAATTATAAATATAACAAAACCAAGAAATAAACAAGTATTTATCAAATTGTTTTCAATTCACATTCCAGAGAATTTTTTTGAAAGAGAATAAAAAAAGATCTTATAAATATTTTGTACAACTACATTCAAAAGGAAATATACGAAAAAAAAAAAAACAGGCAAGGCAAATATCATCATAATGTAATAAAGTAAAGTCTAAAAAAGAAAAAAAAACAAAAATTAAAAGAACCTTTTTTTTTTTCCTTGTTCTTGTACTCTTCCAGTTGAAACTCAATATTTAGGAAATTTTATAAAAGGCAATGCATTCTCAATACTATCAGTTAGTCGAGTTTTGTCAAACCAAACATAAACGTCATTTAAAGAGAGGAAGGAATTATTATTTTTTTTTTATTTTCATTTGCACAAGCTCTTATATCTACTTTATCATAAAATATACCCTTATGATAATAATTAAATAAAAGGAATATTAAAATAAAGAATTGAAAAGAAAACACAATGAATTGACAATGTCTTTCCTTTAATAATTAAATAAATAATTTTTTTTTGTTTTTTTTTTTTTAATTAAAAAAGTGTACTTAATTAATTAAATGATAATTTAAAAAAGAATACAATTTCTCTATACTAAAATTAAAATGCTCACATAAAAATTTTCAAAATTTTTCAATTTTTCGAACACTGCCAAAATATATCAAAATGTATTGCAATATAATTAAATAATAATTAATTAATAATTTAATAATTAAAATTAAATTAAACATTAAAAATACATATTTATAAATGTATTCTATATAAAATAAAAAAAAAAAATTCGATTTATGTGAAATTTTGAGACATTTTTTTTTCGAATATTGAAAAAAAAAAAAATTATTTTAATTAACATTCAAAAATTTTCATGCAAGTCTATTTTGAATTTGAAAAAAATTGTTATTAACAAAGAAATAACAATTTTTCTACAAAATATATCAAATTGAAAAGGATAACAAGAAATAAAAAAAAAAATAAACATTTTTTTATTTAAATTTGAAAAAAAAAATTAAAAAAATGTTGTGGCAAAATATTCAAGAAGAAAGCATGGATATTATTGAATGCACAAGGTATGTTCCTATATTATATAAAAAAACAAGGATAATTAGAATATTTATAAAAAAAATGTTGTTTTTTTTGTTGTTTCCAAATAGACTTTAAAAAAAAGTTATAATTATTAATTGAACCTATTCTTTTCCTTTTTGAACTAAAACTGTATAGAACGAATTCTAATTGTATTATGTGTGCCCATTTAGCTCCAAAAAAAAAAAAAATACAAAAATTTTTAATAAGCTATAAAAAAAAAATTTCAATTTCAAATTTGATTCCTATTTAATTTAATTTTCTTCAATAATTTTGTTATAATTAAAATAAATATGACATGATTAAGTTCACAAATTAAAATTTAACATAATTGGGCTTTCTTATACATATACCAAATAGATTTTTTAAGGGCCTTCTTCTATATTAAAATTTTTGAATTGCAATTGTAGCATTAAAATTTTAGAAAAATATGTGTGCCAGCTTATTTAAAATATCAAATATATTATTTGAAAATTAAATAATATAATTGTTAACAGTCACATCAATGCACTTAAATAAAATATAGAAAACTGCTGATTTTCATACTTTTATCACGAAAATTCAATATCAAAAATTTTTTTTTTATATTTTATAAAATAAAATTTTTAAAAAACGATTAATATCCAATATATTTATTATTTTTTATAAAATAAAGATTGAAGCTATAAGTGGAGAATGGGATTAACTTACATTTGTACTGTTAATTTCGTCTTCCATTAAATTTCTAGTTTCTTGTTGAAAATATATGAAATTTAATGATGTTCTATCCGAGCAGCTCGATTTTCGTTAAAATGTTAGTTAATCCCATTGTCCAATTACCTCTTCAATTATTTTAATATTGTGTTCACAAAAAAAAAAAATGTTTATTTTACAAATATCCGGAAACTAACTTAAGAATTCCGTTTTTAGGATTTTTATAATAAAAAATTTAAAAATTGTTATAAAAGAATATAAAATCAAATTTATTATATTGGTATACATATATAATAACTATTTTAGTTATTAATTTCTGATTTTTTTCCTAAAATTTAAAATTTATTCTAAAATTTATAAAAGACAAATATTAAAATGGTTAGATACAAACATGCCCATATAAATTATTTCCCTTATTTTTGGTATTAAAAATTAATTCTTTTTCGATTACATTTTTCGATTTCGTATATAACAATTAATTTTTCGAATACATAAATACTATATTCGCATATTCTATATATACAATTTAGAGCAATATTCCAACTTCATATTCTCAATAATTAAATATTTCTTTTTATAAATTTCAATATTTTAAACGAAATTTTTTAAATATTTTTAACCTAGTTTTTAATTTATTAAAAAAAATTATTATTTTTCTTATTATTATTTTCCTCTTTACTCTTTAAACAACAATTTTGATTAAATATTGTATGTATTTCTTTATTCTTATCATAAAACACTTAAGAAAGCAAAGAATGTAGTAAAATTAAAAAAAAAAAAAAATCTCAAAATTTATGAATGAATGAAACTAAAAGTTACTAAACTTACTCTTTAAATATTTTTTTTTTCTCATTATATTGCGATGTACATATACCTACACTACATACTTTAAAATTTATTCATAAATACATAAGTCTAGTGTGGTATATATGTACGTATATATGAAAAAAATTTACTTTCTTTAAATTATATTTTATGTGATTTTTTACTCGTATAACACAAAAAAAAAATGTTTTTTTCATTTGAAAAGTGATAAGATTGACAAAGAACTAAAATTTTCAAGAATAAAGAAATTGGCACACCTTTTATTATTTTTTTTTTTTATTGTATTACAATTCGGTCATATCAATTCAGTTAATTCTAATCAATTATTTTATTCATTTATTATTAAAATTTTGGTACTATAGTAATATTCTTCATTAAATATATACAAAATTTGTACATACATACATACATGAATAAGTGTGTGCAATAGTATATATAAATATTATATATAATCAGACAATAAAATTATAATAAATTTTTTTCTTTTTTTAATAAAATTAATGAAAAAAAAATTCATCAGATTCTTTAAAAAAATTCAGATGATAAGAGTATGATACATGAACATATACATACTATGTGTATACACTAGTATATACTATGGGCAAAAAAAGCATGAATTAATGAAAAAAGGAAATACATACAATAATAATGCAAAAGAATAACTAAATATGAATGAATTTGTATTTTAATATTTAATATATTTATGTACATACATATTATACGTAATAATGCATGTATAATAATAATTTATACATGCTATATAAATATGCAATAATAAGGAGGACAATAAATTACTGATATTTTTAAGTTTAGAATGTAAAATTTATGAAATGCAATTTTGTTAAAATTTACAATGTTATATACAGTTTTGTATTATTTGTAATATTACGTATTTTAATATAATTTTTATTTTTATTGCTGACAATTATTATTTATGTGAATTATAATTTTATTTCAATAAGAATCCTAAATTACCGAAAAACTCTTCATTTTTCTAATTAATTTATACTCTTTTAATAACTCTTCAATAATTATTGCTATTATTAACTTGTATATAATTAAATTCAAATCGTAATTTTATAACAAAAATAGAATTTTATAGATACATATAAACTTATACAAATCAAAAAATAAATATTCATAATATACATATTACAAATATTATATAATAGCTATATGTATGTACGTATATATTGAAATAAATCAACTCAGCATGAAATTTATAATAATTGAAATATTAAGATCAGAAAAATATTTTTTAAAATTTTACAAAAAATAAGTAGCTTTATCTTAAAATAATAAGTTGCTCACATTATAACTTTATGTTAGTACTTAATAATTCAATCGCATATATAGCAAAACTGTTGAATATAGGACTTTTACATACAAAATCGTATTCAAATTTATACCTAATTTAGAATTAAGATTAACTAAACTAATTTAGATAAACTAAATTTTACTTCATTCCCATACTTGATTTCCATCTAGATTACTATGTGAAATTTCTAATTAAACTTGCATACGAGTATGACTTAAATAATTCTAAATTGGAAAATTTAGACTCAAACTAATTCATTATTCAACACTTATTTGAGAGCCATAATAGATCTTTATATGCTGGTCGCGGTACATTATTATACAATTTCTTTACAATCTATAATCTACGAAACATTATCATAGAATTATGAAAAACCATATTATTTATATAGTAATTTACATAGTACGTATTTGCATAGATCCTAAAGAAATCTTCCTAAAATTTATATTGTAATACATACGTATACTATACACATTTTATTTATAAGTACGTTCTATGTTTACCAAAACGTTCAAACCATGAATAATATCCATACATACATATGTATATTGTATTTAACATTGAATATATATAATTATTGTAAGTTGCTCAACTAGTTTCATTATTTTATTATATGCATTTTGTTTTTTTTGCTACATATATGCAAGTTGCAAAAAAAAAAAAAACGAAAATTGCAAATATAACAAACTATTAATAAAAAAAAATATATTTATAATAAGTTGGAAGAAAAGAGAAAAATTCATCTTTTCATTTTTGTATTTTTTAATTCAATAATTTTAAGTAAATTATCATAATAATAACCGTATATTCGCGTATAATAATAAGCTATTGTAGGAACATACTTGCATACATGTAATAAGTGTGGATATTATGTACATATATATTATGTACAGTATAGGATAAGAAATCTTAAAAAGGATTCATTGAAGTTTTTCTTTTTAAACATTTTTTGTGCAATCAGTTGTCGAGACAATAACAATAATAATAATGTAAAATCGCTTTTGAAATATCGTCCTCTTTATAGCATTTATTACTATTATTAGCCAGTTTCTTAAGAATTTTTTATTATAACTTTATTATTTGGTTTCTTATTGTGTAGGTTATAAAATAGGGTACTTGTTGTATAGTCTGATTTTTTTATTTTTATTATTTGTATGCTGTTTACAAGAAAATGCACAAATCTTCTTGTCTGTTTTTTTTTTTTTTGTTTTTTACATATTTTTTATTGTTTTCTTACTTAGTTCAGTTTTATCATAAAATCTATCATAATATAGAGAAAAATACCAGTTATACCTATGCAAATAGATATTTCGGAATTAATTTTTGTTGTCTTGAAAATCATTGTAATCCTAATTAAAAGTTTCTTGTTTTAATTAAGAAATTTTATTTAAGAGATGATTAAATATTTTATTAAAAAAACTAAAATTGAAATTTAATAAATACCATTTTAGTAATTGGAATACAACGTCACTGCTTTCGTTTATATTCATAAATAATATTGTAAAGTAACCATTCTTTGAATGAAAGATATATTAATAGTATACAACTATATATATATATATATAAGAATGGATATAAAACATATATATGTATATGTATGAATGTATCTTAAACGTAAACATTTCAGTTTTACACTTTTAGCTGCAGCTATTATAAAAACACACTCTGTTTAACATTAATTCTCAGTTTTTGTTGCATATACATTCATACATAATAAGTTTAAATTTTCTGATCACCCTTATTCTAACAAATACATTAAAATATTTTTATTTTTTTCTCATATGTTTACATTTTTCTTTTATCTTGAAATTCTTTCTTTCTTTCTTTTTGTTTTATTTTAAAAACAGGGAAGAATTTATAATAACATTTAATTTTTGTTTTCTTCTTGCTTTTGTTCTTATTCATCATCATATTGTTATAAAAAATTTTTACAATATTTTTTCAATATATAAAATTATTAATAAAATATTTTTAATTTTTATATTATTTAATATATTTGTCAAAATTAAAATATTCATCAAATTAATTTTAACAAAATTCTTAAGTAATTTTTCTTAATAGAATTGGGTTTAGGTGGGTACACAATAATAATATTGTTAGCCATATTCAACATTCTAACTTTAAATTTTGCTTTTATAATATTCACCAAATTTTGTCTAGATCTAGAGTATTCGTAACTTTAAGAAGAATTTTATCCAAAAACAAGTTTTCGAGAAATCGAGTAAAATATATGCGGGTGAAATATTTAATTTAAGAATTTCATGCTGATTTTTTGTTTCGTTAACAATTTCGAATTTCGTTAAAAAATTGACATATTTAAATATACAATAATTACTTATATAAAACAGCTCAACTATTAAGCAGGGGATTATTAAATTTGGTCGACATCCCTAACATTTCTGCTCAAGGTATTATAAGCAGAAATGTGGAGGATTATATTGAAATTTGGTTGCTATTTTTATTATAGGATTTTCTTTATTTTCATAAGTATTTCTAATAAAATTGTGTTTTTATTTGAAGAAACTGTAATATTTAAAAAATTTTAAAAATTCTAAAATAACAAATTTTCAAATTCATTCATTGATAATGAAGAATTGAAAGTTTTTTTATTCTTTTTTAAATTTTATTGCATTACTTACATAAGTACTTACTTTTGTGAGTACATATATTGGGTTTACAATTTATTTCAGCAAATATAGAAGTAATTATTGAAAATTCAAATGACTTCATATTAATTTACAGAATTAATGTATATATGTATATAATATATGTATACATAAATTTATATTCAAAATATGCATTATACATAAATATATAATGTTTAGACACATTTTAAATATAATATGAAAATTATTTCAATAATAAAATTACAATATTATATAGTTACAATTTTTGGAACTAGTAAAAATTACTTTTTAATTTGAGTGCATGTAAACTATGTATGTAAACTATAAATTGACAAAAAGTATAAGTACCATCGAGAAAATCGTTAATATTCTATTATAAAGAAATAAAAGTAATAACATTTTCTAAATATTGTATGATTATTATTCAAAAATTGTGAAAAGTTAAGGGGGTCTAAGAATATGAAATAGCTTAAAGTGAACTGTATAAATTTTATTATTAAACAATTTATACATATATGTATACATGTGTATTGTATATTCGTCATTAACATTAATAATTCTGATGATATTAACGATAGAAGTTCATTATTTTTGTTATTATACGTACATATATATATCTACGTATGTAAATGTATATGAAATTGTTGATGCGTTTCAGGTTTTCTTATTTTATTTCTATATCCTAATGTATGCACGTATGCATGCATATGAATATATCTGAAGATATAAAATACATATTGTATGAATTATGTAGGAAGCACAACTAAGAGGGTTTCACAATTTTATACTTCACAATTTGGTTTTAGTGTGTGTGTGTGTTTTTTAATGAAGTCCTATTTCATTTTTTCTTATAAATATTACGATCGTGTAATAAGGGGACCATATAGAAAAACTCCAAACATGAAATAATATTTATGTAGCTTGCACATAAGATTATTATATAAAAACAATAGGTACATATATATATATATATATATATATAGGGAAGAAAATATTTTCAAAATAGTGCACATTTTTGCTTTTGCATCTATCTTTTAGTAGAAAAAGTGAATATTTATATATGAATATATCAAAATAAAAAAAAAATATTTACGCTACTAGGATTTCGTAGTAAAAGTATGTAGATATGCAGTCATTAACTACAAAAAAAAACGACAGAAAAAAATATACGGTCCTTTTCATTTGGTTAGTTGAATGAACTGAATTGAAAGAAGGACTGTGTATTTTTATATGATTACAAATATAAATCAGTGTTTTGCAAATGTTAAATTGAAAAATATTTTACATTTGGTAATATACATATGTACCTATATGTATGTGTGTGTGAGTTAATATAACAGATAACCATGCAATTTACTGTTGATTCGATTGACTTTTAGAACTTTTTAAAATTTACAAGCTATAATTATTTGTGACAGTTTCATATCCTACGATTGTTTTCATCTATAGTAAGCATGTTATAAAAGACTTAGTCTTAGAAACAAAAAGTTTTTGTTTAATTTAACAATTTCTAAAAAATATGCAAATCATTTTCATTTTGATTTAAATAAATATTATTGTTTAAATTTGTGAACTAAACGATATTTTCCGATTTGATTTTAACTTTCAGTATCAATCAGAATAATTTTTTTTTGATTTGTATATTCTGAACAAATATAAACGAAAATGTTGAGAAACGATGATATATTGAGATTTTATACATATAAAATAAGAGAGGGAGAAAATAAGAGAAAAACAGAATTGGTTTCAAATAGTACAGTATTGAGTGGATGAATTAAATTGATCATATTTTGTTTTTAGCGCGTCAGTTTTAGTTGGGATCTCACGAAATAAGTGTTCGATATTCAATGTTCGTGGATGATATATTATGTTTTTTTTTTTAATTTGATTTTATATCCTGCAGATATAAAATACATTTATATTATTTATAGTATTGAAAATTTATTAATATTTTCTTTGAACGCAGTTAATTAATATTAAAGTATTTTTATTACTTATTGATTTGAAATTATTACTTTTCTATCAACTGGAAGAAAGAAAAGAAAGGACTTTAAGGATATTATTTAAGATTAATGAAAAAAAAAACGTGTTTGCATCTTTGTTATTTGATCTTGAAAAGAGAAAACAAATTTTTAGAATATTTTTCATAATGGTGGAAAAATTTAAAAAGAAAATATTTAGGATAATAAAATGTGACAAACCAAAAATAATATTAATGTAATATTTTAATATTTATTTATAGTTTTTTTAATTAATAGCAATTATAATTTGTAGAAATTATTTTCTTTCGGAGAAAAATGAAGAATTTTTTTTCTTTTGTACAGTCTACTTCTGTAATTTCGAAGTCAATATTAATGTTATAAATTAGATTGCATTTAAAAGATAAAAATTTATTGCTTGATTATCTTAATTATTTAAATTTCTGTTACAAATTCAATTTTACATTTTCCTTAAGTTTTAGCTTTTTTTCATATATTTCTCATAATATATAAGATTATTAAAATCAATAATAATATTAAAATGTTTAATATAATAATAATAATTTTTTTATTTCTTTTTTTCTATTTTCATTTTAGTCTCATTTCAAATAATTTCACATTAAATGGAAATGATGAAACAGGTGGCAATATAAATAATAATAATAACAATAATGATGATAATTATAAATCACGCAATAATATCAGCCAAAGGAGGCTACTACATTTTTCGGCAATACAAAATGATAAAGAACTTTTTGATGATTTTACATTATACGATGAACAGACAACAATTTCACCAACAAAATTTCGTAAAGAAAATTTACAATTTTCTCCAAGAAATGATGATAAATTTACTTCTTTAGATGAATACGATGGTAGCTCAGTTGATTCAGGTTTTGGTCAATTTAATAGTCAAATAACAAAATTTAAATTTATTGAACCAAAATTACCGATGAAACAACAACAGCAACTAAATGTGGAACCATCACCTCGCAAATATTTAATTAACAATAATAATAATAATACTTTAAATAATAATTTTAATTATAACTTCAATGTTCAAACATCGCCAACAAATTTTAAAATATTTCATTCATTAAGTTCTGGTTCAATGGAATCAATTGATGATGAATGGTCCGATTTAATTGAAATGGAGTCATTAGATGAAGAACAAACATTTCCTTCAAATCTTACATCATTAATAAGTGGCCATATTAAAACAATTCGTACAACACCAGAATCAAAATATAATGAAAATAAAAATTTTAATAATAACAATAGTAATAATAGTCGCCCGAACGTACGTCGATGTTTAAGTTTAAATGAATATAATATTAATTCAAGAAAAGGCTTATTTGAAAATGATAATAATAATAACAGTACCGAGTATATTAATAGCCCTTTAGAGCAATATAATAGAACTTTAACGCCAAAGACACCAGAAATCCTGAGAACAGTACAAGAACAACAATTAGATTTAACACCGAACTCATCAAACCCATCGTACATTTTTCATCAACATCAAATGCATGTTGAAAAATGTTTTAAAAGACCAGAACCACCATGCTTTAGTCCAATACAAAGTAAAAGATATAAGACTGAATTAAAAAGTCAACAAGCGAATTCATATCAACAATATGATTTACAGCAATCAAAATCTGCATCAATAATTGAGGATAAAGAAAATCATAATATTTCATCAAAAATTAATATACAAGAAATTGGAAAATGTAATCGTCCAATTTTCCGTAAAAGTATGTCAATGAATGATGCTGATATTATGACAGCACTTTCAAGATCATCAGATGAACCTGAATTAATTGGTGATTTTAGTAAACCATTTTGTTTGCCATTAATGGAAGGTAAACATCGAGATTTAAAATCAATATCAAGTGATACATTAGCAAAATTATTGCACGGGCATTTCAAAGATACTGTTGCAAATTTTAAAATTATTGATTGCCGTTATCCATATGAATACGATGGGGGCCATATAAAAGGTGCAAGTAATTTATATACACAAGAACAAATTTTAGATGAATTAGTTAATTGTAAGACTGAGGCTCCAGTTGTTCATTCAAACGGACCTAAACGAAATATACTCGTTTTTCATTGTGAATTTTCATCGGAACGTGGTCCAAAATTATCACGTTTTTTACGTAATCATGATAGATGGCGTAATTCAAATTCATATCCAGCATTACATTATCCAGAAATTTATTTACTTCATGGTGGCTATAAAGAATTTTATGAAAATTTTTCTGAATTATGTGATCCAATATCATATAGGCCTATGCTTGAGCCATCATTTGGAGAACAATATCGGCAATTTAGAGCTAAATCAAAAAGTTGGAATGGTGATGTAAAAGGCTCATGTGCTAAAAACGGTTTAAAAAAATCAAGGTCGCGATTACTTCTGTAAAAAAAAAAACAAAAGAAAAAAAATAATTAATTAAATAAAGAGAATGAAAAGAAAATTGTAAAAAACAAAATTAAAAATAAACTTATAGAGACAAATTTAAAATAATATTAAAATTTAGATAAAATCATTTCAAATGCAATTTATATAACTCTATAAATATAATGTACAAATAATTAGAATTAAATTTCAATTTTAAATATGAAACTATTAAGATCTCATTTTAAAAATGAAGTGCATTATGTTCTAAAAAAAAAAAAAAGGAAAAAAAAAAAACTTAAAATTATTTTAACTTAAAACAATGTAATTTAAAAATTATAATTATATGTTTGTAATATTTAGGTATATATGTATATACATATTTTTATGTACATTATTTTAATGTGTATTTGACTATTTTTCTGAAATTATTTGATTATACTTTACTTACATTAATATTTTGAATTCAACTTGTATAACAAGATTATCAACTTACTTATGTATATATATATATTTTTTTTTTTGATAAATTTTTTAATTAATTACATATTTTCATAATAAATATTTTTAAACAACTAATTAATTTTCCTTTTGTAATGTCTTAAAAAAAAAGACGAATATATATATGTACTTGTGTAATATCAAAATTAATCTATGGTGATGATTAATACTAATAACTTATATTATACTTTAATTATTTACTATACATACATATATAATAATGTTTAATTTTTAGCGCAAATAATCTTTCATGTAATTACAAATATTAAATAAATTATTGTAAAACAAATTTATAGGATCTTAATGTTAGGAAAAAATTAAAATTTTTTAAATTTCCAAATTAATTATAAAAAAAAATAAAATTTCACATTCCTTAAGTTCTAAAATGCAATAATATTGTAATTAAATGCATGTTATAATATTTTTAGTTTAAACGAAAATTTTCAAATTGAATTTTATGCTTGATTTAGTAGATTATAATTTATAAATTAAACCATTTTTGTTTTTTTGTTTAATTTAAAACAAAAAAACGAAAACAATTCAGAAATATTTGAATTTAATTAAAATTTTATTTATTTGAAATATTAATTGAAATTTACGGTTCTGTCTAACAACATTTTTTTTGGTTAAAGTTTAAAAAATTTCATTAAATTTTACTTTAATTGTGCGCTTAGGATGTATTTTTAAAAAAATTAAACATTAAAATGAAATTCTTAAAATAAATTAAAATTTATTTACTTTGGAAATTTATTCTAATTTTCATTTCTATGTAATATATGTGTTAGTGCATGTATATATATATACATGCACTAACCTTTATGTATATTTATCACCATAGTATAATTTATTCTATAAAACTAGATATAATTTTTTTTTGATTTTCTTAAATATAAAACAATACAATTTATTTTAGTAAATTTTATTAAAAAAAATTTTTTTGCATATTGCACACATGCGCATACACAAATATTAATTATAATTAATTGTAAACAAAAAAAAAAAGGTTCGATATTTTATTTAAAAATTTTTTTGTTTAATTTTATTTTATTTTTTTAATGTTTTTTTTTTTTTTTAGAGAAAATACCAGTTTTACAAATTCTAAGAATTCAAATAATAAAAGAAAAAATATTGAAAATAAAATGATTTTTGCTCATTTTTATATTGTGTAAAATTTTAAGTTAATTTTAATTTTTTTTTTTTTTTACTTATTAATTTGTAAACAACACTTTTAATTAATTACATTTTATTTTATTTTTATTTCTTTGTGGTAGTGAAAAACAATTTTCTTTTCAGTTGCTTGTTTTTTTTTTATTTTTTTATTTTATATATATTATTATTATTAGTTATTTTAATTTTTTTTTTGTGTATTATTTTGTTCATAAAATTTGTTTTATCATTTTGTTTTTTTTTTTTATTATTTAATATTATATCGATCGGGACCTTGTAAAAATATAATCGCAATATAATTTATACATTTAAATATCGTTTATAGTTCTATAATTGATATTTAATAAATTGTAATTAACAATACAATAAAAAAAATTTAATCAATTTAATTATTTAATATTTATAATATTAAATAATTATAAAAATAATAATATTATAATAGGCTCTAGAATAATAGATGAATATTGAATGAATTTTTTTTTTTTTTTGATGAATTTCAATTAAATTAAAATTTTTTTTAAAATTAATATATCGTTTTATAGAACTATAAAAACAGCTTTAATATGAATAACATAAAAAAAAATTCTAAATTAATTAATTAAATATAATTTTTTTTATAAAAAAATATAATATATATATGATTAATATTAAATTTGAATTCATTTCTAAAACAAAAAAAAAAAAATTATTCTCTTAAAAAACATATTATTAAAATTTTCTTAAATTCAAAGTTCAATTCTTTAATTATACAATATATACGTAATATATTTTTTTTATATCTGTGATTTATGTTAAATCTTCTTAAAAAAAAAAAAAAAACTAAATTAATATTTTTATTTTTTGATAATAAAAAACAAAACCACCGTTTCAGTTTTAATGTTTTAATTAAATTAAATTAAAGGCTAGAAATAAATTTTCAAGAAATTAAAAAAATATAAATAAATAAATAAATAAAGAAAAAATAATTCAAAATTAAATGTATGTGTAATTTTAGTTTTAAGTTTCATTTTTATTTTAATACATATTTTAATATAAGATCCAATAATAAATATTTGAAAGATTTTAAAAATATTTAAAGTTTTATTTTATATTCCCGTTATTTCAATCAAATATTAAGACAAATAAATCAATCTGTATTTCATAATTTTTAATAATATTATTTGGAGAATTATTTTTCGAAATTGTTTGCCATAAGAAATGGCATACAGCTACAATACGTGATAGGAATTGAGCTTTTGCTCGAGCTTTTCGAATAAAAAAAAAGGAAAAAAATTTCGACCAGAAAATTTATAAATTCAAATTATTCTGAAAACACAGATTAAATTACTTGAATTTATAATTTAAAAAAAAAAATATTTATTTTCACGATTTATACATTTTATAAATTTTACATAAAATGAGAATATATTTACCTATTATACGTCTAGTTACAAACTTTCAAATAATTTCTTCAATTAATATGAATTAGAATTTGAATTTGTATTTAAAAAAATTATTGTTGAAAATTTCCCAAAAATATCCTACGATCAAAAAAATTGATGATTTTCGATAATTCAGACATGCAAACCCCTTTTTCTAACAAAAATATTTTCTCTATTTTTGATTTTTATTTTCATTCAAAAATATCCAAAACGTCAATTGCTTTTTATACTTACTTTTCGGCTCAAAGTATTAATTGTTATAAAAAGAATAGCCAAAATCGAATTAAGAAATTCCTAATTTCAAAAATCAACTATGTATATAAGCAAATTTTAGTTAAAAAGAAAAATTTAATTATATATTAATTAGACAATGTTTTTTATTTCAAATATTCCAAATTTAAAGGATCATAATACCAAGGCCTATACTATATTCCAAAACAATGAAATTTGAGCTCAACCCCTATCAAAAAATTACGTCAGTTATTTTTGTTCATAGAAAAATCAAATCTGAACTTTTTTATCCAGTTACCTCTTTAAAACTATTCAATTTATCGAATTTTTAATGAAGTTAGAAAAGTTGCACATCACCATATCCTCGAAAAGTAAGGATTTAGGTCCTTTATTTTTTTTTTTACTAATATCCTTCATCCTAAATATTAGAGTCAGTAAATGCACTGAATCACAAATTCAGTTTTGAAACATATTTTTCCTTGTAGCGGTCAATTTTCAAATTGAAACAACTATAGTTTGTACAGTTTTATGAATTAAAATCGTAAGATCTTATATAAGAGCTATATTAATATTTTGAGATTAGTGTAACATTAATATATGCAATTACAACGGCTAAACCAGATTCATCACCAAATCGTTTAAATTCGGTATTTATATGCTCTTCAACTATTCAAATTTGAGTTAAGAATACTAAACAAAATAAATAAAAAATAATTTAGGTTTCATAATATATTTAACACTGACATATTGTATTAATGTAAATTTAGTTCTGATTTTCTCTTTTCATACATTATAAAATTTAAGACTTTTACAAAAATACATACTTTAAAATGACAATTTGTTTAAAAATATATATTTTTTATAATATTTTATAATAGCTATTGTGCATACAGTTTAATTGTATATTTAAAAATTTATCTATAAACAGTTTCAGTTGATGAAATCTTCAAATATCTATAGTTAAAAATAAAAAAAAAATATGTTTTGTATTTTATTTGAATAAATCAACTGCGAGATGAAGTTTCACTAATAGTATCGAAACATTTATTACAAACTCGTACAGGTTTTCCAGACTGGCCTGCTTCATTTAGAAGTGAAATTGATTTATCAGAACAATTTTGACAAAATATATCACCACAATTACGACAATGATGTTTTCTTCTTGTAATATTAAATTCTTTATTACATTGTTTACAGTTTGTGACACTTTTATCTGGTGCCCAATAATTGTTAGCATCTGTAGATAAAAAAGATTGTTGTTGCTGTTGTTGAAGCTTTTCCTCCAGTTCAACAATTTTCAATTTATGAACACTTAATTGTATTCCTAGTTCTTCTAATGTTGTTTGTGCTTCAGACCATTGTTTACGTGATTTTTCAAGTTCATCTTTTATATTATTAGTTTTTTTAGCATCTTCTGTTAATTCCTTAATAGTATTTTGTAATGTTGATATTTGGTCTTTATGTTTAGCTTCTTTCACTTGTAATGAACTACGCCATTCACGTTCTATTCTTGTTTCGGCTTCAGCACGCGCTACACGCTCATCAGCTGTAGTAATTTGAAGAGATAAAGTTTTAGAAGATTCTTGAAGTGCTTTAATACTTGATTTTTCGGTATTCCATCTTAAACAAAAAAAAAATTTTATTAGACTTCATATGTGTAAATATGAATATCAAAAAATTAAAATTCAAAAATGCAGATTGACAATTCTCTGACTTTATTTGAATCAGTT